ATGAGGACAGTGGGTGGGGAGTGAGGGCGGAGGTGGGGTGGGAACTGTGTGGAGGGGAGTTATGGGGGGAAAAAGAGGAACAAATGTAATAATCTGAACAATAAAGATTTAATTAAAAAAAAAAAAGAAAAGTGGAGAACCTCCCTCTGAGCGGTAGGGGAGCCACCAGTATAGATTCTCCTTGGCTGTCAGCTATGTCCTGGGAGACACTCTTCTCTCATTCTCAGAGACTCCCAACTCTCCCATTTTTAGCTCCACCATGATCTTGTCCTAGATTTTACTCCTGGAAACTTTAAAAGTTAACTTCTTGGAATTAAATGTACCTGAATTCTTGTTCAGAAAAAGTCCATATGCTAGAACTTGCTTTTTTTTTTTTTTTTTTTCACTAAGTAATATATTGTTGACAGCTTTCCAAGTGAGTGAATATAGGTATCCTGCTTAAAACAATAACAACAAAACATCCTGGCCTCAGTGGCTCAGTTGGTTGGACATTGTCCCGTGCAATGGAAGGTCACAGGTTCAATTCTGGTTGGGGCACATATGGGCTTGTGGGATGGATCCCCAGTAGGGGCATGCAGGAGGAAGCTGATCAATATATTGCTCTCATATTGATGTTTCTCTCCCCCCCCTTTCTCTCTCTCTCTCTCTAAAAATGTTTTTAAAAATTGCCCAGCTGACATGGCTCAGTGGTTGAGCGTTGACCTATGAACCTGGAGATCATGGTTCGATTCCCGGTCAGGGCACATGCCTGGGTTAAGGGCTCAATTCTGAGTAGGGGGTGTGCAGGAGGCAGCGATTGATGATGTTTCTCCCTCATCATTGATGTTTCTATCTCTCTCTCCCTCTCCCTTTCTCTCTCTCTAAAAATCAATAAAAACATTTTAAAAATGAGTGTTGCTTGTTTAAAAAAAAGAAAAATAAGGAAGAGGCCGCAGAATATGCTGAACTTTGGGCTAAGAAAATGAAGGGGCTGAAGAAACGTGCCAGGGACAAATGGCCACGGGGCGTAGCCATCCTCTCTTAGAGCATCTGCTCAAAGTCTGTGTCCAGTCAAAAGTGAGATTTTGTAAGAGTAACAACTAAGAACAAACATTTAAAAAAGTTTCCCAAGCTGAATATGCCACAGATAGCATCCACCTACTACCAGAGAAATTGCTAATTCATTCATTTATACATTAATTTTCTCGTTTGCTCATTCAAAACACCATAAAGTGTTCCCTACATGTTGAGTGGTCATTTTTGAGAATAAGAAACTCTAAGCCTAATTTTATAGGGACAATTTTTGCTTAAGTTAACCCAAATTGGTTGGTGTGTGTGTGTTGTTTTTAAAAAATATTTTTATTTATTTCAGGGAGGAAGGGAGAGGGAGAGATAGAAACATCAATAATGAGAGAATCATTGATCAGCTATCTCCTGCAAGCCCCCCACTGGGGATTGAGCCTGTAACCAGGGCATTTTTCCTGACCAGGAATTGAATCATGACCTCCTGGTTCATAGGTTGAAGCTCAACCACTGAGCCATGCCCGTTGGACAATTTTCTTTCTTTCTTTCTTTTTTAAAAAATATTTTATTGATTTTTTACATAGAGGAAGGGAGAGGGATAGAGAGTTAGAAACATCAATGAGAGAGAAACATCAACCAGCTGCCTCCTGCACACCTCCTACTTGGGGATGTGCCTGCAACCAAGGTACATGCCCTTGACCAGAATCGAACCTGGGACCCTTCAGTCCACAGGCCGACGCTCTGTCCACTGAGCCAAACTGGTTAGGGCTGGACAATTTTCTTTTAATGGATAAGTAAGATATGTCAAAGACATAACTTTTTTAAAAAAATGTTTTCAATGATTTTAGAGAGAGAGAAAGGGAGAGGAATACAGGAATACAGAGACCGAAACATCGATGAGATAGATACATCAATTGGCTACCTCCTGCACATCCCCTACTGGGGATCGAGTCTGCAACCCAGGCACATACCCTGATCTGGAATTGAACCAGTGACTTCTTTGTTCATGAGTGGACACTCAATCACTGAATCACACTGGCTAGGCAACCCAAATTGGTATTTAATCTTGCAATGAAGAACCCTGAATAGAACAGCAGTTCATATCAGGTGTGAGATGTAAGCAATAGTCTCATGGGAATGGAGAGAATCTGAGATTGGTCATCGTCCCTTGATAGAGTTGAAGATAATTGTGGTAGGCAGTCTTTAAGATGGCTCCCAGCCCTAGCCGGTTGCTCACTGGTTAGAGCATTGGCCCTAGGACCGAAGTGTCAAAGGTTCAATTCCAGTCAAGGGCACATACCTTGGTTGCAGGCTCAATCCTCGGCCCCAGTAGGGGTGCATGTGGGAGGCAATCAATTCATGTGTCTCTCTCACATCAATGTTTATCTCTCTTTCTCTCTCCCCCTCCCTTCCACTCTTTCTAAAAATCAATGGAAAAAATATATCCTCATGTGAGGATTAACAAAAAAAATAAGATGGCCCTAACCGGTTTGGCTCAGTGGATAGAGCGTCAGCCTGCGGACTGAAGGGTCCCAGGTTCGATTCCAGTCAAGGGCATGTACCTTGGTTGCGGGCACATCCCCAGTAGGGAGTGTGCAGGAGGCAGCTGATCGATGTTTCTCTCTCATCGATGTTTCTAGCTCTCTATCCCTCTCCCTTCCTCTCTGTAAAAAAATCAATAAAATATATTAAAAAACACACACAAAAAAACAAAAAAAATAAGATGGCTCACAAAGGTTTTCCCCGCCTGCTATTGAGGCTATTGTGTAACCTGGACCTAGTGACTTGCTTCTAAAAAAGATATCACTTCCATGATTAGGTTACAAAAGACTATGATATGACTTCCATCTTGCTTTATTGCCTTCTATGTTTGCACACTTTCATGAAGTAAGCTGACATGTTGGAGAGGTCAAAATGACAAGGATGGAGGGTGATTTCTGACCAATAGCTCTAAGGAACTGAATCCTGTCAACTACCACATGAGTGAGCTTGAATATGGGTCCTTCACCAGCCATGCCTTTACTGATACCTTGATTGCTACCTTGACATAAAGAGAACAGATAAACTGTGCCTAGATTCCTGCCTAGACACTGTGAGATAATAAGTATGTGTTGTATTAAGTCCCTAAACTGTAGAGTAATTTGTTATGCACCAATAGATAACAACACAATAATTATTTAGGGATGGGAACTTTCAAGTAATGGCATGTGATGATGAAGTTAGTGATTTAACTATTCCTTAGGTTTTTCAATGATGAAATTGAAACAAGGCTCTTGGGGACCCAGTGGCTGCCACCAACAATCATGTAGGAAATGAGGAATTCAAGGACTATGCGTGATTCCATTGCTTTGAACTCAGCTGGACAGTTTGAGGAAAGAGATCGAGAAACACAAGCTCATACGTTCTTGTTCTTCTGCTTCCCTTTATTTTTACTCTTCCCTTTACTTTTACTCTTCCCTTCTCTTCTTTTCCATGCCCTTCCTTACAAATTCAATCCTGAAGACATTAGATAGAACAAAGCAAGGAAGGCATTTGTGCCTGAAAAGGAAGGAGCTAACGAGGCCCAGAGCGGAGTATTGCACCTGAATTGGGCAAGAAGAGCATCTGTGTAGGAGGGCTGTCCCGCATGGAGAGGCAGACCCTGAGCTGGCTGAGGGGGCATTAACACAGGGGCGGGTCCTGAAGGGGTGTCAGAGCCCCAGATGGCGAGGACAGCACCCAGAGGAGCTGCTCAGAGAGGTGTCACAGTCTGAGAGGGGTAATCAACATGTGTTAGTTATCTCTGTGACATAAGAAATTACCCCCAAACTTAGTGGGTTAGAACAATAATCTTTTACTGCCTCACGGTTTCTGTGGGTCAGGAATTCAGATGGCACAGCAGGAACGGCTTGTTGCTGCTCTGTGACAGCTAGGCCTCAACCGGCAGCCTCTGGCTGAGGGCTGAAATCTTCTGCAGTGCTGGTGAGGCTGGGGCTCAGCTTCTAGGCGGCTCACTTCATGCCTGGATTAACCATGGGGAGGGGACAGAGAAGAGCAAAGTAAAAGCTCTGTCCCAGAAGCATGTCAGTAACAGGGATGAGAGGAATCCAATGAAGACACAGGCTAGGAGGCAGCAGGCTCCCTGACAGAAGGTTCAACCAGAGGCTGCAGTGGTGCAGGCGGCCCAGGGGTCTGGTTCCTCGGGTCCATGGCCCACGGTGGGTTCTTGGCTTCGAGCAGGAAAGAATTCAAATGCAAGCCAGCGTAGAGTTTAAAGTGAATGAGAGCTTATTAGTGAAGTGACAGAGAGTGGCTACTCCACAGACAGAGCAGCCCCTCTCTGGTGGGGTTTAATTCTCATATTGAGGTTTATTCAATCAAAGGGAAGGGCATTCTATAAAAGGGAGGAATACTCAGGATTTTTCTGGGAAAGGATTGGGACTACTTAGAAGAGCCCTATTGGCCATTTTGTGTCCGTTTATGGCAGCGGTTCTCAACCTGTGGGTCGCGACCCCTTTGGGGGTCGAATGACCCTTTCACAGGGGTCGCCTAAGACCATTGGAAAACACATATATAATTACATATTGTTTTTGTGATTAATCACTATGCTTTAATTATGTTCAATTTGTAACAATGAAAATACATCCTGCATATCAGATATTTACATTACGATTCATAACAGTAGCAAAATTAGTTATGAAATAGCAACGAAAATAATTTTATGGTTGGGGGGTCACCACAACATGAGGAACTGTATTAAAGGGTCGCGGCATTAGGAAGGTTGAGAACCACTGGTTTATGGGCTTTCCTTCTGGATCATGGTGGCTGGGCAGGGGGTGTGGCTGGTGTGCTAATGTGTTACAATGAGCGTATAATGAGGCTGGGGTCACCAAGAGGTGAAATTAGTTGCCATATTGGATCGAGCTGTTCTTCTGTGGATTCTAAGCCATAAATCCGTTGGGGTTGGCCTTGCTGTCTCTGATAGTCCTTATGGCTACAGCCCTTTCTCAGTAGCACTTGAGAAGTGACGAGCCCTGGCTGCAGTGGCGTGTGAGGCAGAGCACTTCAAGGGGGGCATTCCACCAGGCAGCGCCCTGATAACAAAACACTGCAGCTGCGCAGCCCAGGTGCCGGGGAGTCCAGGCCGGCTCGGCAGAAAGGAGGACGAGCAGGGAAGTGCTGCCTGGGAAGGTCCTGGAACTGAGTCCTTGCAGCTGGGCCTCGGCAGATTTCATGGCTGGAGCCTGAACCTGGGTGCAAAATTGGGAGACCACGTGCATTTTCAAGGCACAGAGTCTGAAGAGAGTGGGTATCCTCTCTCAATGGCCGAGACTATCAGGAGTCTCCGTAACTGCCGGCACCGCTGCGGCTCCTGGGCGGAGCGAGATCAAACCACGCTGCCTGCGCCTGATGGTAGCTGATCGCGGCCTGAAGCAGCAGGGCCCTTGCCTCCCTGGTGCCTCCGAAACCCCTGGGGAGGGGAAGAGGCCTGGTATTATTGTCCTCATTTTATCAAAACCGACACCCAGTTCCCTGTGCACAATCCCAAGGGCACTCTTGGAAGTACCTGTGTGATTCCAGAGAGTGAGAGTGCAGCGGAGGCGAGTGTGGAAACACTCACTCCCCGGGGCGGCGGGTCCGGAGGGAAGCCGGGGCGCACACAGCTAGCTCTGAGCAGGACGGAACCTCGTCCGGTGCTTCCAGGGCTCGCCGAGGGTTTTGGCGGCAGAGAGGAGGCCTCGGGCCGGAGGCTTTTAGGTTCCGTGTCCATCAGCCTCAGCAGGACGGAGGAAGCGGTGCGGACGTGAGCGCCGGAGAGCGGAGAGCGCAGCAAAGCCGCGCAGGGTGGGCAGTGCAGTCCGAGATACGCCGCTGAGAGCCTCGGGGGACCGGAGCCCACTCCCCGTGGCGGGCCCGCCCCCCTCGGTGGGACGCGGTGGCGGCGGCACCGAGGTGCGGGTGTCCCCCTCTTCGGGGCTGGTCAGTGCATGTGGCTTAAAAAGCCTAAGGCGAGATCGAAGCCCAGATGGCGGTGGCCAGGCCAGTCTCGCAGCCGCCAGACGATCCCCTGCAGCTCCAGGGCGGGGGAAAGGGGCCGCAAGGTCGTCAGCACAGGCAGCCCCCAGCGGCGCCTCCGTCTAGTAAATCATCACAGGCTTCCCCCAAGGAAGAGGGGAGTCCTGGGCGCCGGGGCCCTCTCCGCTCGGGCGCCAACGCAGGAGCACGTGCACCGGAGAGGAGGCTTTCCCGTGGCCGGTCTCGCTATTTGAAAGCGGCTCTGGGACTAGGAGACAAACCGAACCGCGTTTGGGCTGGGTGGGAGCCGGATAAACGTGTTGGTTCAAAAGAGGGGCAGGTGGTACGTAGGCAAACGCGGTGGATGGTTACACCGCGCGGCCACTCTCCCCGGCCTCCCTGCGCACCGCGCCCAGGAGCTGGAGGAGTTTTCCCCATCGGCGGACGCACCCACCCTCGTTGGCACCCACAGGCT